TCTTTCCTGAAGCCAGGTTTGCCACCAACCTTAGGAACTTGAGGAAATGAGGAAATGGTTTCTTGTATGCCAGGAGTTTAAGGCCAGCCTGTTCTACATGGTGAATTGCAAGCCAATTGAGCTACAGGGTGATACTTTCTCAAACAAACAAACACAACAATAACAATGAAACACCTCAGACTTGATTATTATGCTTGGCTGGTCTCTTTAGGAACTGTGTAGATTGCATGACCCTCAATTCCTTCAGCTTTATCTAACCAAACACATAACAGGTCTGGGCAAAACCACCTGTAAGAAATTGGGAAATTGATTTCTTGCTTGGTAACATATCCCATCCCCTTCTTGGTATGTGGTGAGCAGGAGTGTGATGAAGGCACTAGGTGTGCTGGGGATGGTTTGGCAGTACCTACCAACATACAAAAAGCAGTGACTCAGCAGGGCTTCTCTTCTGTGTCTACCCTAGAGAAATCGTTGCATACATGCCCATGGAAATGAGAACAAATACATTTCTTCAACATTGATTATGATATGGTAGTGCTGTTCAGTAAATATGATGCAGCAGTAAAAGTAGCTGCTTTGAACTGAGGTGCATAGACTTGTCTGTGGCACAGCTGAAGTGGAAAATAGCAAGTGGCAGATACATGTAGACCATAATGTCTTTCATTTAAAATACTCTAGTTCTGTGAGGTCACATGTAAATGTACATGCATGAGAAAAGAATTAGAGGATCACATACCAAACTCATAACTGTGATTCCTGGGGAAAGGGAGCCAGGTTCAGAGTCGGTTTCAGATGTACTTCAGCCCTATTGCTAGTATCTCAAGGAATGGTTTTTTGTGTGTCTTTTTGAAACAGGGTCTCTCTGTAGCCTGGAACTCACTAGGTAGACCAGGCTGCCAGGCTGGTAGGCTGGTCTTGAACTCTCAGAGCTCTGTCTCCCTCTGCCTCCCAAGTTCTGGGATTACAGGTGTGTGCCACCAGCCAGGCCCCCTATCTAAAGGATTTTTTAAAGAGTGCATATTTGATTCTGCTATGGGGAGTGCAAAAAGGGGAGGGGCTCTAAATAATATTAAGATGTATTATATGAAATGTACAAAAATTCAATAAAAATACATATTGTAAAAAAATTTTTTTAAAGAAGAGCAAATATTTGGGTAATAACTGTATAACATTGTTAACAGTTATCAGTACACTTTGAAGTTACTAAATACATATTTTGTATTGATTGCTTTTTACTTTTCTTTGCTTTTCAGAATATAATGAATAAGATTCATACAATTAGTGTACCCTACTCTGTTATGAAAACCTGTCCTCTCTCTTGGGTTCAAAGAGTACATGCCCACAAAGGTAATCACATACAATGTCTAAGATTTAATTGTGTGACTGTTTGAATTAAGATTTCAGGGTTTTCAAATTGCCCTTGTAGAGAGATAGTTCTTTGCCTCAGTGGCTTAGCAAATTTCATAGTTTATTTACTGTAGGATTAGGTAAGTTGTGTATTTCATTCCACTCATGTGCTTTCTTGTGAACTGAGATGAATTCTCTGAAATTTGAACCCAGAATTATATTTACTGAAATGCTGTATTGTCCAGAGGTTCCTTGACCGAGATACTCAGGCATATCTGGAGATCACAGTGCACAAACAGCTGTATGTCCAGTCAGTTGTCAGAATGTGGTGATTGCTTCCTTTGAGCAACTTTCACAATCTCTTCAAAATTTTAAAAATTTTTCTTCAAGTAAGAATTATTCCTGAAATTGAGGCTGGAGAGATGTCTCAGAAGTTAAGAGCACTGGCTGCTCTTATAGAGGACCAGGATTTGATTTCCAGACCTCACATGGCCACTAACTGTCCATAACTTCAGTTCCAGGGGAGTCAACACCCTCTTCTGACCTCTGTGGGCATTGCATGACATGGGTGCACTTATATACATGCAGGCGATACATTCATACACATAAGATAAAAATAATAAAATACTTTGAAAAAAGAATAATTCCTAAAATAAGTATAAGTGTTTTTATTGTAATTTAAACTTGTGCCCAAATTCAGCATGTATGTGTTTTATAACTGTCCCTTTTGAATTTATAGCCAAAGTAGCATTAGTAAAGTGTCTTACACTGGGCTATGATGGCACATCGGGACCAAAGGGACGTTAGCCTGAGTTCTCTCCGGATGTTAATTGTCACTGATGGAGCCAATCCCTGTGAGTATTTTTGGAATATAAATTAAAGAATATCCTTTGCTTTGTCAGGCTAGGTGTTCGGCTCCTTTTTTATAAGCTTTTCTTTTTAAAATATCTTTATTGAGATATAATTTACATACCACAAAACTTACCCATTTAAATTATACAATACAGTGGTTTGAGTGTGTTCATAGTTATGAAGCCATCACCACGACTGACCTTTCACACACTCGTTAACCTAAAACCACATATACTCATTGTCTGCTACTCTACATTCTTCCCAGTATCTCCCTATCTTGAGACAACTGTGATGTTTTTAAGGATTTATTTTCCCATATGTGGACACGTGTGTGTGTGTGTGTGTGTGTGTGTGTGTGTGTGTGTGTGAATGGCACATGTGTACAGTCACCTGAGGAGGCCAGAAGAAAGTGTTATGTATATTACAGATGATTGTAAGCCACCATGTGGGTGCTGGGCACCAAACTCGAGTCCTCTGTAAGAACAGCAAGTGCTCTAAACTGAAGAATGCTTTCTCTAACCTTTCTACTTTCTGCCTCTATAGATTTGCTTATTCTGGAAGTTTTACATGAATACAGTCATGCTATATGGTCTTCTGTGATGGACTTCTTTCAGTTGGCATAATATGTTCAAGTTAATCATATTTTAGCATTTGTCAGTATTCTTTTTGATTGCCAAATACTTCATCATATAGACACACCACATTGTATTTAACCACCCATCTCTTGGTGGATCTGTAAGCTTCTAAAAACTACTCCTTGCTCATTTATATGCTCTTCTACCAGGTGACTGTCCCTTACATGAAAAGAGTCATAAGGTGACTTGATATATCCAAGTATGTGAATTTTAGGGGCTGGAGAGATGGCAATTTGGAGCACTGGCTGCTCTTGAAGATGACCTGGGTTCAGTTCCCAGCACCCACATGCTGATAATTATCATCCATAACTCCAGTTCCAGGGAATCTGATGCCCTCTTCTGGCCTCTGTGGACATTGCATGCATATGGTGCACTCACATACATGCAGGCAAAGCACTCACATATGCAAAATATAAATAAGTGCCTGTCTTATTTCTTATTAAGAAAAAGAGACTTTCACTTTGAATAAGGTGGCACTTCCAAGACTGCATTGTTGTGGCTATTATAGTTACTTCAGGAAGGGCTGCTAAATAGCTAACTGGCTGCATAGTATACAATATTGTCTCTGATGCTGGTTTGTCAGCTTGGTAGGCACAACCTTTTTCCCAGTTTTAACTTTAAACAGTATTATGAACCTATCATGGGCATAAAGTTGACATTCATTCTTGAAATGTATCAAGTATCCAGCTACCTCAAGGCACAGTATACTGTTTGCATGTAATGAATGGTGTACAATGTGAGTTCTTCTGACAGATATGTCATCCTCCTACTCTTTACCAGTTTCCTGCAGCAATGAACATTACAATGTCAGCTTTCAAGTTGATCTGTTCCAACTCCTTAGGGTCTGTATCATCCTGTGATGCTTTCCTGAGCCTGTTCCAAAGCCACGGACTGAAACCTGAGGCTTTCTGTCCATGTGCCACTTCTGCTGAGGCCATGACTGTAGCAATCCGCAGGTACTGTTTGGGATGTCAGTCCTTGATGTCTGTCACAGGCTTGTATGAGATATGCAGTCTTTTCCAAGTACAAGAAAGAAGTGTTAACCGATTTTCTACTTTTATAAGTCTAAAAGTAAAAACTACCTAATAAACTCATTTCAGGCCTCTCATTAGTTTTTACCTTCTTACCCAGAGTGTCTCGAGTGAACTCAGATATTCTCATATTTGTGATTTAGTTACTTCTCAGAATCTTTTACATCTTAGATTAGAAGTACTCTTTGGGGGGTTCTTTTTGAGACAGGGTCTTAGGGTCTTTCTAAGACCCACAGAGATCCACCTGCCTCTTCCTTTAAAATATTGGGATTAAAGGTATGTGCCACCATGCCCAGTTTCTTTTTCTTTAAGGTTTTGTGTGGGGGGCTGGAGAGATGGCTCAGTGGTTAAGAACACTGGTTGTTCTTGAAGAAGACCTGGGTTGGAATCCCAGCACCCACATGGCAGCTAACAACTGTCTGTAACTCCAGTTCCAACAGATCTGACAGCCTCTTCTGTCGTCCGCGGGCATTGCACGACACAGGTGCACTTACCCACACGCAGGCAGTACACACATATACACATAAAATAAAAATAACATATTTTTTAAAAAGATTTTATATGTGTGTGTTGTGTGATAATAGGTACACATGGAGGGGCTCATGTGCATTGGCCAGAAGAGGATATCAGGTGTCCTCTGCTATCACTTCATACCTGCTCCTCTTAGGTAGGATCTCTCCTTGAACCTGGGGCTTGTGTCTTGGTTACACTTGGCCCTATTAATCCTTTTGTCTTTGCATTTTTGGAGCTGGGGTTATAGGTGTTTGTGGGGATGACCAGCTTGTTACATGGATGTAGGATTCAAACTCTAGTCCTCATGATTGTGGAACAAGTGCTCTTAATTATTGAGTATCTTTTCAGCCCCCCATATTTTATTTATTTATTTTTGGGGGCAAAGTCTCACTGTGTAGCCCAGGCTGGCCTAGAACTTTCAGTGATCCTCCTGTCTCAACTTCCCAAGTGCTGGGATTGCAGCCTAAGCCACCATGCCTGCTGACTTTTTGTTTTATTTTTTTTTCAAAATTAATTTGTACTCGTCTCTATAGTACATTGTATAGCAGATTGGACTTTTAGACTAAGTGTGTGTGTGTGTGTGTGTGTGTGTGTGTGTGTGTGTGTGTGTGTGTCTGTAGGTCCAATGACAGCTTGCAGTTACCAAT